CCTTGCGCTTGCCAGGGAAGCGCTTATTCCACTGAGCCATCTCCCCGGCCCCAGAAGTTATTATTAACTGTGTTGTTGGTACAGCACACACTAGATCCTTCCAAATGCTGCCAGTGTTTAGATACCATTTTAAATATTCCTAAATTTTCAAGATTCAAAGAGTCAGGATAGAGAGTCCCAGTTCAATGAGGACAGCTGTGTGCTGCCCTGGCTGCTGAAATAACAGGCTCTGTTGTGTCACTTATTCAAATTCTTAGAATTAGATTTTCTTCTCAGTAAACAGAGAAGATTGATTAGATAAGAGGTGGGAAAAGTTTATTTTGAAAAAGGAGATAAAATTATTTTAACTCTGGGTTATATAGTCTCTGTGGCAATGTTCAACTTTCTATTATAGTACTAAATTCAGGGAAATAGAGATCTAGGGAACACAGCTAAATGATTGTGACCATGTTCTAATTAAACTTTTTACATATCATAGCTGGAGTAGTCCCAGATTAGATGAATTTCTAAAGAACTATGGGTTCCTAACATCTTCTCAGTCAGTTTGAGTTTTAACTTAATTTCTAAATAGCCATTTTGGATTTATAGGTAATTTGCTCTAATTAATTGTACTTAATCTAAGTGGGATAATATATGTAACAATTTATCTTTTTAATATATCATACATAGGTAGATCTTTTCTTTTCATAAATAAAAAAGCTTTTTTTCCTTTTCCTAAAAGAATGCCTATTGACTAATAACCCTAGAGCTAATAGTCACCTTACTAGATCATTTTAGTCACCATTCAGCCTTGTGGGACACCACAATTATGTGTCACCCAAATCTTGGTGTTCTATCTCATGGCAAATCTTCATAATAGCAAAGCTACCACAAAGTAGATCAGGGAATGCTGGCTTGGGACTCAGCAGAAGGCAGACTCCAGGGAAAGTTCTAGAAGAAATCATTTTGCATTGTGTGTAAGTGTTCTAACGTTCCACTGTCTGCTGAGATGGTGGGACAAGGAAGACAGAAATTGCCATAGGGTGGGGGTGGGATGCTCTTAGACCAGTTGATCCTGATTGTCTGCTTGATTGGAATTAGTAAATCCCTGAAGAGGTGACTGAAATGTAAGGCATGAACTTTATCATGTATCAACCCGATAATGAGTTTGAAGCTGAATGAGAGCTGAGAAGGTGGGGGTCTGCAGGGTCCTCTGTGAGGGCTGCAGTGACCCCTGCCCCCCTCCCCTACTGCCTGCTCTCTGGCTGCCATGTTATTTCTGGCTCTCCATGGCTTAGGTAGGTCTTGCTCACTTTTCTGCCCTTGCTGAGACAAAAATGCCAAACACTCAAATTTAAGGGAGGAAAGGTTTATTTGGCTCATAGCTTGTAGAGGTTTCAGTTCATAATCAGCTGGCTCCAAGGCAGGTTGGCACATGGCAGAAGGCAGCGGTTCATGGCAGTGGAAGACAGCAAAGCAACCAAAAAGGGGTGAGCACCCTGTTTCCCTCCCTTACATTGTGTGCAGGCTGCTCACCCTAGGGTGGGTGTAGCTTTCATGTCCTTCATCCCCGCACCACGCAATGGACCTGTCACAGACTCTAGATTCAGCCACCTCCTAAAAGTGCACCCCTCATGACCACACGAGACTTCAGGGGACATTTAGACAAGTGCCTTCTCCCTTAAAGCCAGTTGACCATGCAATAAGACCTTGGAACCTGAGAGTCAAAATAAATCCTTGCCTCCTTTAAATTGTGGGCTTCAGGCATTATGTTACAGAAATGGAAACCTCACCAATTGCACTCCATTGAGCTTCTCCTAACTATATCAGAAATCCCACCTAAAAGAAAAGGGTTTTAGGTTTTGTTTTGTTTTTCATTTTGTGCAAGGTCTCACTAAACAGCTCAGACTAGCATTGATCCTCCTGTTTTCAGCCTCCCCAGTGCTGGGATTACAGGTGCACATTCCACACCTGGACTTCGTGGCCAGCTCAGTGAACCCGGAGGAGGGGGTTGGATGGCATGTGGTGCCAGGGATCGAACCTGGCTCCTGTGCTTGCCAAAGCAGGCACTTAGTCCCCTGAGCTATCTCACAGGCCTAGTATTATTTTTTTTCTTAAGATTCTTTCTTTTACTGTCTTATTCTTATCCTGAATTTGGGCATCTTTTAAGGTATCTTTTGTAGTAATGACCACATATTAATTTTTTCAGAGCTACAGTTAATCCCTGGGGTCAACGGATTCCGAATTTCCAACCCTCCAATTTTGCTGGTCTGTTCCTTGCACGCTAGCCTGGAGGTAGGAGATCTGTACCTCTGCCTGCCCCCATCTGCACATTTCCTCCCCACCTGGGTGGGCCACATGGTTGGGCTTCTGCTGCTAATCAACAAGATTATAAATATGCAGTCGGGGCACACAAGGAATGCAAGACAGCATTCTCTGTTGAGCCCGTGACTGTGTGCTGAGCACAGTTTTCCTTTTCTATCTTGCTTCTCTCCTAGCACCTGGCGCATTGTTGACTGTAAACACTTGGAACTGATCTAGGGAAACGTGACGTTGTTCTAGTTGTTGAACTCACACAAGCTATTAGACCTTCTCTGAGTTTCCCTTTAAGTCAGAAAAGCTTATCATATTTAATTCTTCATCAATTCACACGAGCAGCAGGTACTCATCGTCCAAGTATATAGGTCAGACATTACAACAGCTGGAAATCTTGTCTCTTCTGGTTCCGTGAATCAGTGCATGGGAGAAGACTTGGGAACAAAGCTACAGAAGTCACCTTAGTGTGCGAAGGAGGCATGGACGACTAGAGGGAGCTAAATATCTATCTAGGCAGGTTGCTGCATTACACATGTAGACGTTTGCTTTATTTGCTGAGGTCTCTCACGTATGTGTAATTTCTACTACGATGAGACAATATTTAATTTTAAGTTAATTCATATTTTTGCATAAATTTAGTCTCACCCTGGAATTTATATAGTGAGTTAGTCTATCTATACAATATATAGTTTATATGTAACGTGTATGTTACATATATAGATGTGTATATTTTAAAATAGATAAAATACATATATAGAAAAACAAACTGATTTCTTTGTCATTATTTAGGGCTAGACTAAATCCATTCATTTAAATATGTGGTTAATAATTTTGAGCATATGTTAATATTAATATACACATTGAAATATAATTTTTATTTATAGAGTAAAATATATTTTAAGTAAGTAAGCATAACTATACCGACAGAAAACTTTTATATAGAACCACTAAAAGAAAAAAATTTGAAGTATTTTTTGCCATATATTCTAAAATCATCAATTCATGGTACTTCAGGAAATCCTGTGGTAGATTCCAATATCAAATAAGTAACAGATTCTTCTGAATCCTGAATTCTGATATCATACTACGTCCATAGCAGTTTTGTAGCAGTTTTCAGCTCCGGTCTCTGGATGGCGGGGTGAACTTCCCCGGCTCCTACACTCGGTAGTGATAATCTCACTCACTTCACCCAATTTAGAGCGCACCTACGCAGTTTGACCACTAGATGGAGCATGTGCTGTTTTCACATTGGCTTTTCTTATTCCCCTCCAACACTGGGAAATAGTGGGAATCACAAGATTCCAGGAATGGACACGTTTCTTTTTTAAAGTTTTTAAAGTAAAAATACAGAGGCTGGGAAGATACCTCAGCAGAATAAGCGCTTGCCTAGCCAGTGCAGGGTCCTGAGTTCAATCCCCAGTACCACAAAAATTAATTAATTAATTTATTAAATTAAATAAAAATATGATTGCAAAACTAGATGCCAGTATTTGAGCTGCCTTATAATATTTATTCAGATAAACATTTTCGAAGTCTTTAAAATATAGTAAACTCCTAGCCACCTTTGCAAATCTTTTCCAAGGAAAAAATCAGTGAAAATAGGAAAGTCATGCAGTGGTACCTTGGGAAGGACTGGTGCTTGATTTTCTTCGCTTTTTCTTATCTTTACAAAGTGGCTTCCCCGACACAGCTAAGTGTTTCCTCCTACGAGCTCCCATTTGGTACGTGGTTGCGTGCAGAGCCGGCTTTTCTCCCAACACCACCAGCCCCCTGAGAGGAGAAGGACAAACCCCTGCTCTTGCTGTTGCTCGTTTTCTGCCACACAGTTCCGGGCACCCAAGCAGAGGTGCAAGCCCCTGGAGCTGAAGATTGCTCATTTTTTCCCAAAGAACATCGAATTTTAAATCTAGCAAGAGGATCATGGAAACCAAAAAAAAGGGGTGTGTGTGTGCATGTCTCTGCACTTTATTTTCACTTAAGTATTTCTCTAGAGCTTCTTGTGGAAGTCACTCAGTACTGAACTACATTCTGACCAAAAACGCCTTCCCTTAGTCAGGTTTGATTTTATTATTATTAT